AACCTTTTTCTCTATATTGTGTCTGCAGGACAATATTATTAGCATGGAAAGTGGAGTATGTCTTTTCAAGCATTTCTGCATCAGTAATATTTTCTCCACATAATTTCAATTGAGAAGTTATTTTAAACATAGCTGAGTTATATTCACTAACAGATTTAAAATCTTGCAATCTCAAATTCAACCATTCATAACGAGCTCTAGGGAGTATCACTGTTTTTTAGTGGTCATACCTTTCCTTTAGATTACTCCAAAGGATTTGTGGGTCTTTCACAGTTAAATATTCATTTTTGAGCCCTTCATGGAGGTGACGGCGATGAAAATTCATGGCTTTAGCCTTATCTTGAGGTGTTGCCTTATTAGCCTCTTTTATTGTTTCACCAAGACCTTTAGCATCTAGGTGTATTTCAGCATCTAACACCCATGATAAATAATTCTTTCCGGTGATATCAAGGGCCACAAATTCGAGCTTGGCAAGGTTCGACATTTTTCACTATACAAAATAATATTAAAAGATAAGTATATATAAATAGTATCCAAAATATGTACTAAAAGTTATAATCATGCATAAATAATTATGATACAAGTTATGCATAAATAAGAATGAAATAGAAGATGAGAACGTTAGCATGGAGAAAAATAAGAATGGAACCTTCAATTATTTATCATGCTTTGTGTTCGTTATATATGTTGATATTCCAATAAATAAGCATGCAAAATTAGATAAATGTTAAATTATAATTGTTATGGGCTACGATCATACTTACATGATAATAATAATGGGATTATAGAAAAATGTTTGGTAATCCTACTCAATTGACTAGCAATGGTGCTGATAACGTGTTAAATATGGAAGAGAAAATAAAGAGAGATAAGGGAAGATTGTTACGTTGTATTTCATATTCCATGTAGTACTGGATATATATAATGTACATTTCCTAGGGTTCCATCAATGGATAAGACCAAATACCCAACTCTAGAATATTCTAGGTTGTACATGGATAATAGTCATCCATATTTAGATATTATCATAACATAATCATCATAAATTATAACAATTATAATAATAATCATGTTCATGTTAATATTAAAGCATAATAGTAATAGCAAGATCCTAGGCATGATATTAACAAGATTAATAACAAACCCTAGCATGTCACTAAGCAATAAAAATCAAATCTTTAACCCTAACATGATACTAACAATCATAGATATTAGGAAGAGAATAAAAGGCATCATAACAATCATATTTAATATTAAAAAATACCCTAGACATGATACTAGGAATATCATAATTACAACCTAAACATGATTTCTACATCATAACATCAATAAAAACCATTAAAGTACTTACTTTGATGCTTCGTACCTCTTTCTAATAACAAAATACACACGTTAGTAACTTCAAGGAAAATAATAAACAAAACAATCAAATAAAATAATTGAAAGAGAGATTTGGGACCAAACCCTCAGAAATTAAAACCTTTCACGTCTAGGGCGAAGGCAACTTCGAATATGGCTAGGTGTTTCTAGATCTTGCGAATGCGGAATTTTGTATGAAAACAAAGTTTAGAAGAAAAAGAGAAGAGATGAATGATTTAGAGAATGCTAAAGAAAACTTGTGAATGATGAGAATTGGTGAGAATTGGTGAATCTTGATGAATGAAAACGGAGTTTTTAATACGTTATTTATAGAGAAAATCAGCCAAAAAGATAAAATAAACAAAACAGAGTCTGACGCACAGAAAACAGAGCTGGCTTCACCCTTGGCTAACTGGCGCCAGGCACCAACACTAGCGCCAGGCGCGAATGGCTAGCGCCAGACCTGGTTCCAGGCGCCAAGGCCTGGGGTTAGGCGCCAAGCCTGTTTTTAACGCGTTTTCGAAAATCAGATAAGTTTACCGTACTGGAGGATAAAATCATATAATTTCCTCGAAAATGCTATTTGATTTTAATTAAAACTCTGAAAAGTCAAAAGTCAATTTATCAATGCTAATTGAATTAGGAATGAAAAGAACCTTCTAGAAGGTTCTAGAAGACTAAAAACTATTTCTAATTGCATTAGGAATGATAAATCATATTAGGCCCTCCCCAAGATCATTGAGCCGCATATAAGGCTCAAACCGGGCCCAGTTCAGTAAATTGGTCATAACATCCTCAATATTCATCGAAATCGGGCTTATAATATATCGTTGGAAAGCTCTTGTCAAGCCCCATCCAACTTTACTACTATTGGACCCGTATCATGGACCAACCAAACTGGATTGACTATTTTCTTAAAATAAGTTTTCAAAAACAAAGAGAAGAGAAAAGAATTATAACTTTCCGTAACACTAGACTTTCCACACTTTCACTTTATTCGATTACGATTCGACGTGAAAGGTACTCATGACTGGGTTTGGTTTTTTGGAGACATAAATGGGTGTCTACAGGTTCTTTTTCGGTTCGGTTTGATTTCAGTTCGGTTTAGAACTGGTTCGGTTTGTTAACGGGTTCGGTTCTTATACGGTTTGACATTATTCGGATCGGTTCGGTTTCGGTTTTACTTAAATACGGTTTGAGTTGGTTTTCGGTCTTACAAAATTGGTTTTTAATCGGTTCGGTTCTCATTTGGGTCGGTTGGTTTCGGGCAGTTAAACGGTTTTGGTTTGAAATTTAACAGCACTAGGCCGGCCCCATTCATATACAAGTCTCCAAGTTTTACTGATTGATTGTTGGTGTAACGGTAACTGAGACTACACTTGATAGAGAGCACCCGTGTTATCCCCCATAACAATAACTGGGAGTGCACTGAAACCTAACCACCCAAAACTGATCCGAATCCGGATTAGCCTATGGGGTGAACCGGGTAAACACCAAAAAAACAAGTCTCCAATTTTTATTTTTATTTTTATTTTTATATTTATTTATTTATTTATTTTATTTTTTTTGAAAAACTACAAGTCTCCGATTGACTAAAGTCAATAAATACTCCCTTCGTCCCATAATATAATTCTCTTTTTAAAGTACTAAAATGTTTTCTTATTCTCATTTTTGGATAGTATATAAAGATCATTATACCTCACTTTTTTAACTTTATTTATTGTACTTTCTAATTTACCCTTAAATTTTGCACATGTCAGGTACTTTTTTTCACTTTCTCTCTCTAGTTTTTGTCTATGATTGTACTTTTCACTTTTATTAATGTACTTTATCCACTTTCTCCTCCTATTTCTTAAATATCGTGAAAAAACACAAACAAGAACTATATTATGGGGCGGATGGCAGGGGCGGAGCCACGGGGGGCTGTCCCCGCCCCTGCAGCCCAATTCCGCAGCACATATTTTCTTTAATTTGGCCCCTATAAACTTTAGATTATATAATGTTGAACTCCTTATCTTTAAATAACTATGCTTTTGGTTCATTGGTAAGTCAATTCCATTTTGTTACAAGGATTGCAGGTTCGAGCCTTAATAAAGGCAAAAACGTATTTTTTTTTCCTTATTTACGGAGTAATATTTTATTTTAATAAAACATGTTTTTTTTTCCTTATTTACGGAGAATTATTATTATTTTAATAAAACAATCCTATTGAGTGGTTACTGGCTTAGTATTGTTCCTCATGGTTCAAGGTTCAATCCTATTTAGTACTAATATATGTTTTTTTTATTTCTTTTTTTTTTGGGGGGGGGGGGTGGGGGAATATTTAAAAAATTATCCTAAGTTAACTCTTTGACTCTTTAATTCTCCTGCAATATTAGATCTAGGGGTGAAACAAATTTGGGTTAAAACCGAACCAAACCGAAAACCGAACCGAATAAGAAATATGGTTCGGTTTTTTTTTCGAAAGTGGTTCGGTTTGGTTTTGAAAAAAAAAAATATTTCGGTTTTCGGTTTGGTTTCGGTTTTAGAAATTGAAAAACCGAAAAACCGAACAAAACCGAACAGAACCGAAATTTCAGGCCCAAAAGCCCCCTAGCCCAACACTTTTACCCTAAGTATATAAAGGAAAAAAAAAAACCCTAATCCCTCACTTCCTCATCTGACTCTCAGTCTCTCACCTCTCCTTTCCTCTTCTTCTCCTGATCTCACCTCTCCGCCCTTTCTCTCCTCTCTTCTCTTCTCAGAATCTTAGTTCTTCCTCTCCCTCCTTTCCTCTTCTCAACTCCGTCCTTTCTTTCTCCTCTTTGATCTCTTCTCCATCACTCTGTTCTCCTCTTTTCCCCACCAGCCCACAGCGAATAAGTTTATTTACAACGTTATTAAGCCATCAACTGAGTAGCTAAGGTTTTTCATGTCAAATTCATCCATGAAAACACTAGATCTAGTGTTTTCATGGTCGAATTTGACCTTTAAAACCCAAATTCGAGGTTTTTCGGTGGAATGTGAGGTATGTCCTCTTTTTCTTAATTTTAATTTGATTTGAATTTTTTTTCCTACTTTATTTTTATGGTGGCGTAGCCGTGTAGATTGAATTGCGGTGGTGATAGGTAGTTGTGGGTCGATCTAGGGTTAGTGTTTGGGTGGAAAGGATGAAGGGTGGTGAAATAAGGTGGGTTGTGGGTTGTGGTGGGTGCGGATCTGGGTTAGGGGTGGTGATAAGGTGGTTTTTGGTGGTTGTTGTGGGTGGTAGTGGTGATAGTTTCTATGGGTGGTTAGTGGTGGTTAGTGGGCATTGTTGTGGGTGGTTAGTGGTGGTAGTTTCGGTGTTTTTTGGTAGGTTAGGGTGGGTGGTAGGTGGGTTTTAGGTGGGATGTTTGTATGGTTTGGTTTGGTTCAATTTTAATTGGTGTGGTTTGGTTCGGTTTTTTTGCAAAATGTGATGTTTAGGATGCTTGAGAGGAAAATTCGGTGCGGTTTGGTTTTTTTTAGGAAAACCGAAATTTAGGTGGTTTGGTTTGGTTCGGTTTCAAAGCTAAAGTGGTGCGGTGTGGTTTGCAAAATCAAGAAACCGAAATTTGGTGGTTTGGTTTCGGTTTGGGCAAAAAACCAAACCGAAAACCGAACTTTCACCCCTAATTAGATCTTTCAATTTATATTCGAGCAAATCCAAATTGATATCCGATATCAATGAAGCGCGTTGATATAGGGTCATTTTTCGTCTATTCACGTGTTAAAGTAAGGACAAATTTGGAATTAGAAATAAATGCCCAACTTTATACCATTTTGGGACTACCGTTTTGGTCTATGTTGGATGTTAACGTCGTTAATGTTATTTTCGAACCGTTTTCGAACCCTAACATTATTGGAGTTTTCTCTCTCTTCCGCGACGATGTGTCAGTAATGGTTATTGCTACACTTCTCTTGCTAAACTTCTCTCCAATGAAACTGTATTTATTTTGATCAAAAACGAGTTGTGCTTGGTAGAATGAAGATTGTTGGTGTCAAGGAGAGCAGCAATGACCTCAATTGCTTTGATGACGACGGAGTGGAAGTTGAATCCGATCTGTAAATTAAGGTATTTTTCGTTTCATGTGTTGGTGGATTATAATTAAGGTATTATTCGATTCTACAATTGGTGGATTATATGCATTGCGGAGACAATGTATTTGTGCTTTTATTTTTTTTCAATTTGAAGCAGGGGAAAAAACTATATGTATAATTGTGTGTAATCGAGTTGTTGTGTTCATTAGGTTTGGTTCCTAGGTATATCTCTTAACACTAATGGTCAGAAACCTGCAAGATTTCCTCAATCTGTAATTAATCAAGTGTATTGTGTTATCAGCATAAAATTGTCGATGGAAGAAATTGTTTAAAGCGGAAATCAATTGCTAGTTCAGTAGGTTGTATTAAACAGGTATTAAACTATTTTTGTGTATTGGTTTTGAAGTTGTTAATGATTTCATTGAAAGTAATTGTTAAATTCAATGCAATAGGTTTCTGGGTGTTACAAACAGCCACCATTGAAGACTCTATCTCCCGAAATTTTTAAGGTATAGATGCTGTTGTATGTAGTAACCTTTAGGTAATATCTTTGAGCATCAAATAAAGTTGGTTATTGAAAATGGATTGATTTGTTAATGTTGTTGTAGGATGAGTCATTGACTATTGGTGGTCAAGTTAAAGCAAGAGGTCAGGTATTAAAGAGACGAGATGAAGCTAGATGTCGGGTAAGATGTGTTGTGATATAGGTTTTTGGAAATAGTTGATGGTTGTTTTTTAATTAAATTGGCTATTTTTAATATGTTTGGTTGACCATGTTGTGCAGCCTCCAAATACTACTTGTCATGTCGAGACCTTTGGGAGAATATGTGACAGGGTAGAGTCGTATCCCCTAATCAAAAATAATTATCTAATTCACTAACTAAAGTAGATAGGAAAGTAGGGTCGATCTCCACAGGGAAACAAGTCTTTTTACTCCTAATTAAATATTATACTCTAAATTATTTAAGTAACCAATATCAAAAGTTGAATATGAAACTAAACTAAAAAGAGTAGGAAAAGGGAGAAAATAATATATAAAAGGATCTAGGGCATAGATTCACCAATAAATAATATTCCGGGGTAAAATAGGGTAATCAATCATTGACATTGCATAAATAACATGATTAACAGACTCTCGCAATTTATTAACCAACATAGATCTAACAGGCTCTCGCAATTTACTAGATCTAAGTCCTTATCAAAAATAGCCTTTAATATCAAATTAACATCTGCTCGATTCATCAATTTAATATTGCTATACTTTTACAAGCCGCAATTGTAAAACATTAAAACAATCCAATAAGAAATCATCATGCAATACCAACAATCAATAATAGTCAATCATCAATGCATCAATTAACCAGATTGTAAAGGGCTCTCGCTACTTATTACAATCACACAATTAAATTACCGGTATTAAATCTCATCTCTCGAATCTTGACTTAACCATTTATAAATTAACTTGCCTATTGAAACTAAACCTAAACATTAATTCTCATCTCTCGATTCTTGAATCAATATTGTCAAACTCATGCATAAAAGATAGGCCTAATCTTGTCACAGAGCATTAAATCAATCAATAGGAAATTAATCTAGCATTGATAATCAACAACAATAATTTACCCCTTCATATCATTTATTAGATCCCCATAAACCCTAGAAATTGAACTACTCACACATAATTAAATATAAACTAAGCAAAGCAATAAAGTAAATCATGATCAAAGGAATAAAATAAATAACTAAGATTAAGGGAAGAGAAATCGTCACCAAAATAATTTTGGAATTAATCAAAGAAATAAGAACAAAGGTTTAGGGAGAGAGTTTAGAGAGAGAAAACTAAGTAGAGAGAGAAAGTCTAAGAGAAAAGATTAAGAGTAGAAGAAGTGGTCCTAAAATCGTATTACGGAGGAGTATTTATACTCCATACAAAAATCCTAAACTAAAACAAATTAATACGACTCTAATTGTCTCCTAAATAAACACGCGCCCGATCGGGCGCGCCTTTTTATCTTTAATAGCTAATCTCGCGCCCGACCGGGCGCGTCACCGGGCGCTTCTCCCGCCCGGTCGGGTGCCAGCCTTTTTGGCCGGGCGGATCATTTGGGCCAATATTTGGACTTCGATTGGGCTCCAATTTTTTGGGCCAATCTGGGTTTCCTCTTTGGGTCTTGAATACTCGGTCCAAACGCCCCGGTATCACCTCTACCGAGCCCTTAATCACCGGTTCGATGGCTCCAACCGGCCCTGGGCTATAAAATCTGGTCGTGCTTCTCCAGTGCTCGTGATTGCTCCAAAATATCTCGGAAAAATACTCCAAAAGCATAAATCCCTGCAAAAGTCAACCAAATCTACGAAAACACTAGAAAACACCAATTAGTAATACAAGTGGCTCTAAAGAGCCAAAAACACTACTAATTATGACCAAGGGACGGGGGTAAAATACTATATAGAATGGACACATCAAACTCCCCCAAGCCAAACCTTTGCTTGTCCCTAAGCAAAGATCTCATCAATGAATCAATAAATATGCTTCACCCCAATAAGTAAAAATCAAGCACAAACGATCCAGGGTAAATCAAATAAACACGCTTCAGAGTCAACCAATCAAATCCATCCAATTACCTTTCTTCCCTAACAATTGTCAAACAGAGCAAACCACAAGAGCATATAGAATTCAAGACTAGTGCTCACACACTCGACTCTCATTTATGTGGCGAGTAAAAGATGTACTCGATCGCTCTCCAACCACCCCTTTAATGTGAGCAATGCCCTCCCAACTCACACTCTCGTGTGTATAAAAACAATGAACGCTCAATCCTACTAGTCGACTCGAAGTATGCCAAATCATAACTTGCATTGATAAGCAACACTTTCATATTCATACAATTCTATGCACAAAGGTCGGAAGGTCTTTAAAGCTTGTAATGTAAGGCTAGGGTAAAGGGTAGGATAAATTTGGAAATACATGAGAGAAAAGCTATGCTTAAAGGAACCAATCCTAATAAAACCCATGATCAAAAATAAATAATGATCCCATCTCCTACTTAACCAACTCTAACATCAACCAAATATACTCCAATCATAATAAATAAACCCAACTCTGACAATTTCACTCATAAGATATAATAATGGAGTAATAGAGTGAATAAACAAACTTAATTTTCCAAACTTGAAATTTTTCCATTGAGGCTCAAAATTATTCTATACAAACCTCCAACTAGAACATTTGAACATTTTTTTTTCTTTTGAAGTTCGCTTATTTTTTCACATTTTTTTTCTTTGAACTTCTCTTTTATTTTCATAATATCATGCTTTATTTTTTTCAAGAAAATATAACTCTCAAACTCATCAAAAAATAAACATGAACAATCAACAAAACTACTTCTCAAAATCCCACCCAAATTGTGCAAATAAATAGCACACTACAAACTCCCTCACCTCACTCACTAATAGCTCCCCCAAGCCAAGCTTGGGACTAGTAACCAATGGAGCAAAATAGGCTTGTAATATGGCTAATAAACAACAAAGAGTCAAGGCAACAACATGGGTAGCAAGAAGGGAACAAATGTATCTACAATATCTGGAGGCTACCTAAAAGAACAAATGCCTTCGTCCTCCACAATGTGCATAACAATGAATCGTATAAACATTACTAGTAGTTGCAAACCAATACTCAAATTCATTGATATACCAGGAAAAATGGAACTATCACACATTTCCTAACCAAATCAACTAGTCAAGCACTATATTCACAAGTAGTTGGACAAAATTGACGCATGTAAAGGTTTCAAGGCAATAAAACATCATATCATGATCAACTAATCCACAATGCCTATCATCAATTACCAAGGATCAAAACAACTTTCTCAAGTAAGGGGCATAGGGAAGCATAATTTATAATTCATTGGAACGTATTTTTGGATTTTTTTTTATTTTTTCAAATTTAACCTAAGAAAACACACCAAAAATAAAAGAAAAGAGAAAAAGAAAAATACCAAACCAAAATCTCCCCCAAGCCAGAAACAGACAATGTCCTCATTGGCTCGGAAACTAGCCCAGCATAGCTAGCCCTCATCATCTTCGTCCATCAAGCCGAAGCCCGCACCTCCACTGCCACCTGCACCACCTGCACCAAAAGAGCTACCACCAAAATAGTCAGCGTGAAAACTCCCCCCCGCCGGTCCCCCGAAAGGAATGTCCTGCCCGTACCCGAAAAAGGAAGAATAGTCAGAGTAAATACCACGGGCAATGGGATCCCTACCGTATCCCTGGGGTGGAGGCTGAAACCAGTCAGGGTGGATAGCGTCGTCGGGAATGTTGCCCCGACGAGCATAATCATCGTACATAGGGTAGAGAGCTCTACCCTGGTTCCTCTCTAGGTACCCTAACCTGTGGTCAATAGAGCCCACCATCCTCCTAAGGTCAGTCTGTGCATGCTCAATACGTCCTAGGGCCTGACCTATACTCTGAAAATCCCAAACTGGGTCAGAGTCAACATGAGGGACGGAATGAGACATACGAGGTGGAGAGAAAGCCACCTCGGGTTGGGGCTGAGGTGGTGGAACTGGTGGTGGTGGTGCCTGTCCCCTAGCGTTGGCAACTAAAGCATCATAGGTGTAAGAAAGTTGCCCGGGGGAAACGCGGTCAAGTCCGGACTGGGAAGAGGAAAAATGGGCAAAGGTTGCTCGTTCCCAGTCCTAATACACCAAAAGGGTGTCTGCTCGCTATCCGGCCTAACCCACCCCACATCCTCAAAATACCTAGCAGTCATGTAGGTATCTGGTCCATAGTTAGTCAGCTGGTGGGGTCCGTCTACTACAAAACCGACCTTTTTCACCGCTAATCGAGTAATAAGGCCACCTAAACAGATAGGGGACTTGGAAGTGGTGCTGGCCGTGGCATGCCGACTCAGGTGATGAACTATAAACCTGCCTATGTTCAATTTCCTGAACCCGTATACATAGTGTCCTATTATAGCTAGTTCGTTGGTTTGAGCGTTATGAGGCTCGGCCCTACCCAAGAAACACAATCCCGCAAACCTTTGCCAGATTTTCGGGACAGGGTGGTGAATGGGTTTGGTACTAGCATGTTGGGGGTCGGGGGCAGGTAAACCAGTCAAAGCAAAATATAAATCCCCCATTTTATAATCTTCATGCCACCGGTGAGATAATTCAGAATTTAATTCAAAAATTTTACAAAATTCAACAAAAGTCAAACTAATATTTCTATTGTTTAACCTGAAAAATAAATTAGGTCCATTTCTACTACTAACAACATGAAAAGTGGACAAAAATTCACATGTAAGTTCTCGGTATGTAGGATAATGCATGTCAACGAATTTTCTCATGCCAATATCATTCAAAAATCGTTTAACATAATCAAACAAACCATATGATTCTAAGGTAGGGCGGTGTAACCACCGAGAAGGGATTACCTCACGACCGACCAAATGCTCCAAACGTTCTTTCTGTTCCCGGCTCACGATCCGGATCGTCGGCCAATACGGGAGCTGTAAGTCTGGGTCGTACTCCTCCCTCGAGCTGGAGCTCCTACCAAAAATTGATCTTGCCCTCTTTGAAGCCATGTAGAGAAATGGGTCGAAAATATTGTGAATTAAAACTGAAAATTTTTTGTATGAGATTGAAGAGGATGAAGAGAGGATTACAAATATATAAAAAGTTTTGAACTTGGATTGGTGATGGAGGAGAAATCTTAGAGAGAAGTCAGAGAAAATTTGAGTTTTAGAGAGAGAAAGTAATGGAGGAAAGAAGAAATGAAGAAAGAAAGAAGAAGAGACGCAGAAGTGGACTCGCGCCCGGTCGGGCAGTGGCTCGCCCGATCGGGCGATCTGATCTAATATCAGGTTATTTCTCGCGCC